GCGTCATCTTCCGCTTTCTCTCTGTATGACTTTATGAGTGTTTGTTTGTTTTCTCTCTGTCTCTCCAGTCCTCTCTTCCTCTCTCTCACCGACTCTGTCGTCGTCGGTTTGCATGTTTTTTTTTTTTTTTTTTTTTTTTTTTTTTTTTTTTTTTTTTTTTTTTTTTTTTTTTTTTTTTTTTTTTTTTTGTTTTTTTCTTTTTTTTATCTCTTGGTTTTGTGCGATGGCTATACTGTATATCGACGCACACACATATATACATATACATATGTATATATACATATACATACATATATTTATATATATATATATAAAGAAGTATAGGTATACAGATACAGTTGCTATAAGCGTATACCACCACCCCCCGAAAAGCGCCCTGCCCACCTCCGTGACATCGGCCCCCTTCTTTTGATACCCCCTCCCCTGCGCCTTCAAGGGGCCTCAAGACGCCCAAGAGGCCTCCAAGATAGCCCCGGGAGGCCCCCAAGATGGTCCAAGAGGGCCCCAAGACGGCCAACGATCGCTCCAACACGCCCAAGATGGCCCCAAGACGGCCCAAGAGCCCTCCAGGACGTCCCAAGAGGCCTCTAAGAGGCTTCTCACGAGGGCAGAAACAGACACACACACATTGTTGGTTGTTCGATGGGTTTGAAGGTTTTTTGGGTTCTTGCCGTTTCGGCTTCACGACGCTGCAAGACGGCCCAAGAGGCCCCCAAGGTCGCCCCAAGACGGCCGAAGAGGCCCCCGATACGGCCCCAAGATGGCCTAAGAGGGCCCCAAGACGGCTCTAAGGAGGGGGACCAGACGGGGGATCCGACCAGACTTTTCGTGCCCTCGGTCGTTGTCGTAAGCCCCTCCTCCTCGTGGCCTTCCCAGCTGCAGCCATGCTTCCTCTGTCATTCCGAACCACCTATATATCAGTTCTAAGCTCCACTCCCCACCACCTTATCTCGTGGTTTTCTAAAATGATTCCGTTGGCCGTCCTTCCAGCTTTCCACCTTCACGCCAGCCCCGACACGGCGTACACAATCATGTTCCCGGAGAGCCTTCCGGGAACATGATGCTCGCCGCCAGTTCGAAGAGGAGACCCAAAAAGAGGAGGGGGGGCCACGCCGACTATGCCGACGACGCCAGCGACGTCGACTTCGAAGACGGCCACGACCACGACCACGACCACGACCGCGACGACGACGACGACGACGAAGACAACGAGTATCGTTGCCCAGGGACCCGCTCACAGCGGAACCGAGGTTGAAACCCGCCGTAGACGGTACACCTTTTTTTTGCTACGTCTCACATCATTTGCCGTGGCTTTCGAGTTCCTACCGTTAACAAGCGTCTCCCCCATTTCCCTGCCAAGCTTAATCCCCATGCCAACATTTGCAAATGTTCCCACCGGGCAGTCCTTCGGGCTGTGCAGCCCCATTTGGGCAACGCTGGAATCGAGGCCCTCAACACCACCTACACCATCATGTTCTTGGAGGGCCTTCGGGGAACACGATTGTCGCCACCAGCCCGACGAGGAGACCGACGAGGAGGAGGAGGAGGATGAGGAGGAGGAAAAAGAGAAGGATGAGGACAGGACAGCGGCAAACAGAGGCAAATCATGAGGCAAACAACGAAGATGAGCCAGTTCGACAACAATGAGGATGCCGGCCCACGCGGGCCCCAAAGCGGCCCCAGGGGCGCTCCAGACGGCCCAGAATGGTCAGACAGAGGCCTTTTTTTTTTGCTCCCCCAAGCCTCCAGCGGATCCCGCCACGAGGCCCGTTCGCCGCAGACGGCGGCACGCCATGCCCTGTATGGCCTGGCACAGCTAGCCTGAATGGCCTGAATGGCCCGAAAGACCTGGCTCGGGCCTAAACCAGCATCACGTTCACCATGCTCACATAGTGGCATCGGCAGCTTCTGGAGCAGCTCCACAAGCCCCTCGCAGGCCTCCTCGAAGGCCCACTGCAGCGCCTCGAAGACGCTGCTCTCCCAGTTCAGCTTGTCGCCGTACTGGTCCCCGCAGCTGGGCGCAGAAGCCGTTGCCCTGCACCCTGTAGCCGCCGACCGCTGCCCCTCAGGCCTTCTCGAAGGCCACCTCGGTTGCGATCTGCACTGGCTGCCAGCACGCACGCTCCCCTCGCCTCGGCTTGCGGTCCACCGCGATCCGCGTGAGCCATTGGCGCCCCGCTCGCAGCTCTAGTGCCGTGGGAGGTGCTGGAGGAGGCTCGTCCTCATCTTGCTGCCAACCTGGCCTCCACAGGTTCCTCTCCTCCGCATGCTCTGCCGTCTGGGCCCCCGCGGTCTCCGCGACCTCCTCGAGCCCCTCCTCGACGCCGTCGCACACCGTCTCGGGGCCCTGCTTGACCTCGGACTCGGTCTCGTCCTCGTCCTCCTGCGCTGCCCTGCGTCGCTCCGCCCGTCGGCGGCGCTTCGCCGCGCTCTTGGTCGTCACCACCTGGTAGTGCTCGTTGTCCTCGCCCATCACGTGCGGCGACGTGTGGTCAAGGAACTCGGTCTGCGGCTCCGCCTCGACGATCGCCTCGAAGACCGTGGGCCCCGCCCTTTCGCCCTCGTCGGCGCAATCCGCCGATCGGGCTGTGACGGGCCCATCCCCTTGAGCAGGTCCTGGAGGTGGAGGCTGCCCCGCGCCGCCGTAGCCCTCGGTCACCTTCTCCACCTGGCCCACCTGCTCCATGCCCTTCTCCACGGAGGAGTCCGACCCGTGGCCCTCGTGCTCGGTCTCGTCCTCCTGGCTGTACTGGTAGTCCTGCAGCTCCTCGGAATCGTCGCCCAGCGTGTCGCACCCCGTCTCAGAGCTCTGCTTGACCACCACCTTCTCGATCTGCTCCGCCCGCCACGCCCTCAGGCTGCGCAGCAGAGCCTCTGGCTGGTCCTCTTCGCCGGCGCCCGGGTGCCGGAGCAGTGCGCTAGCCGCGTCCAGCTCGCGGCAACGCTTCACCAGCGGCGTCGGGATACATACCTTGCCCTTGCGCATCTCCTGGAGGCCCGCCGCCAGCGTACGTCCTCCCACCAGGGCCACCATGTCTGCCGCAGCGCCGAGCAGCTGCTGCGCCCGCACGCCCAGGGCTGGGCGCGCCGCGGCGGGCACCCGCTCTGCCTGCGCCACATGCTCGGTGCTCCCCTCCTTCGCGCGCTCGGCCGAGGAGCCTTCCCCCCCCTGGAGGAGCCGCATGAGCTCCGCGGCCTCCTGCAGCGTCCCGACGGTCGTCAGGGACATGCCGTGGCGGACAGAGTAGCCCCGCCCGCCGCTACCGCGCCCGCCGCCGATGCGCACCATGCGCCGCCTCGGATGCGAACCCGAGGGCCGCGCGCTGCCCGCCAAGGGCCGACCCGCTCCCCGCGGGACGGCACACCTTGAGCCAAAATGGCTACGGAATGGTCAGACAGAGGCCAAGAAACGGCCCCCAAGAGGCCCCCGTGCGGCTTGCGTCAGCAACCCGCCGAACATCCGACAGGCTTTCGACCCACGGTCCAGGGCCGGCGGGATGGGCCGAAACCAATGCCGGTTGTGGCGTCAGCCCTGCCTCCACTTGGACTTGCCAGCTCCAACCTTTTTTGCTTTGTTACCCCATACCTCTTCCTTTTCATGTCCAAGCTCCACTCCCTCACTCCCCCTGGCCAAGGTTTTTCGAATGATTTCATTGGGCCGTCCTACAGGTTTTGCAGCCTTGCTTGGGGCGATTGGCGGCGACAACCATGTTCCCCGAAAGCCTGCTGGGAACATGATTGTCGCCGCCAGTAGAAAGAGGAAGAGGAGGGCGAAGAGGGGAGGAGGGGCGCGGAGGCAGAACACGCAGGTGAGGATAACGAGGGTGAGGAGAAGGATGATGAGGAAAGGGAGGATGAGGAGGAGGAGGCGGAGGAGGAGGAAGAGGATGATGATGAGGAGAAGGAGAAACAAACATTAAACATCGGAACACAAGGAGGAGGAGGAGGAGGAGGAGGAGGAGGAGCCCTCATCCATCCGTTGATCCATCCCTCTCTTCATTTCCCGTCCTCTCCCTTTTTGCCGCTTCCGCTTTTCTGCATCCGTTCTTCCCTACCTGCCTCCCTCCATCCCCTCTTCTTCTCTCCCTCTTTCCCCTTCCCCAGCCGCGACCACGACGACAACGGCGGCGACGGCGCCGACGACGACGTCGACGCCGGGATTGCGCGTGTCGGCCATGAGAATGGATGAGGCTAAGTTCATGAGGAGGGCGATGAGGATGACGTCTTCGGAGCTGACTAGAACTACGCGCGCGCAGCGCGCCTTTGGTACTAGCCTATATATATATATATATATGTATGCACGTCGTTCGTTGTGCCACTATCTATCCGTCCGTCCTGTTCCGCTTTGCCATGCTCTTCCCCTCAGTTTCCCATTTCGCGTGGTCAAGTCAGTGCAGGAACCGCTGTGGTGCTATCTTCCCTTCTCCTGCAGTAGTTCAGCGCAATGCATGTTATTCCAGACGTTTTCGTATTATTCCAAGTAGGGCTTGCCTAACTTAAGGACACAGCCTACAGGCTGTCCCCGTGGCGGCCCAGGGCGCCTATGACTCCGGTATGGGGTCGCTCGTGTGTCGGGTTCCTGGGCTCCTGGGGGTCGCTCGTAGAGTTCGGCCTTTGTCGTTGTCTTATCTTTTGCGTTGCATTCATTTGCGTTGCTCTGAATTGCGTCACTTTGCTTTGCATTGCATTGCATCGTTTCGCGGCTATTTGCCTTCTAGTGCTATGCGTATGTATATTTTTGTAGGTTTGAATTCCGTAATTCTGCGATTCGCTGCATTGGAACCAGACCTCTTCCGCCCAGGTCCTGTTCCGCCAGGGCCTGTTCCGCCCGGCCCTGTTCCGCCCAGTCCCGTTCCGCCGGTTCTGTTTTGCCGGTCCTGTTCCGTCCGTTCTTGATCCGCCGTCGCGAGCTCTCGAGCGGGGGCGCTCTCGCCGCCCGACGCAGCGAAACTGGGCTTCGGCGGAACCGGCCCTCGGCGGAACCGGTCCTCGGCGGAACC